TAATGAATCATTTGCAGAAATATAAATAAGAAAAAGGAAAATATCAGTATTATCAGCTTATTTCTACACATCTCTCAATTCCTCCCTATTATTTCAGATCAAATCTATCTTATGTCACATAAATATTTTTTTTCTTTTCTAAATGCTTATGTTAGAAATGTTGATTATGAAATTAATCTTATAAAGCAACCAGACATATGGTCTGCATCTTGGCATCTTTTTTTCTGGTAGACACTGGTTTGCATTGATTCACAAGTTCTGCCACTGCAACTACAGTACCAGGCAAAATGTTCCAAATGAAATTGTTAATTTTATGAATTAAAATAAATTAAATTATTCTTCCCATCCTTCCTATTACCTATTCCTTATCTTCTTATGACTATAACTTTGTTGCTTGTATCTTATGATTTATATTGTTTTATTTACTATCTTAGTATGATTTATGTTGCTTGCTTTTTAGTATACTATGACCCTCACTGAATGTTGTATCTTATGGTTTATGATGAATGTATTTTATGATTATAATCATGAGTTATCACTTGTTGCTTGTAAAATTGCTTGTAGATATACTGAGAGCTTAGGCACTGGAGACAAATTCTTTGTGTGTCCAATCACACTTGGCCAATAAAGAATTCTAATTCTAATTTGGCAGCCTGGGGTTTTCCCAACTGATTCACAAAGCCTTCTGTCACTTTCATATGTCTGCATTACATTAGCTGCTTACTTTATCTTCTCTGGGAAAGATAGGAAAGAATAAGAAACAGAGTCAGCACAGGAAGGAAGGAAGGAAGGAAGGAAGGAAGGAAGGAAGGAAGGAAGGAAGGAAGGAAGGAAGGAAGGAAGGAAGGAAGGAAGGAAGGAAGGAAGGAGGCATTTACTGATCTTGTAAGATAATCTATTTCTAATCATAATTTATGAAACAATAAGTATTCTCAATATTTATAGAAAAATTGTAACTTAGTTAAAGCAACAATCTTGTTTTAGCGTTGTAATCAGCCAATTCCCTGCCTCTATAATGTTCCACACAGGAATGAAATCTATAAGACTGTGATAACAAGAAAGATTTTTGTACTTAAACATTATAATGACTTCTTGCTTTAAATATGGATATTTCAGAATATTTTATCCAATTATCTTCAAACACAAGAGATTCTATTTCAATGACCTCTGATTTTCCTCATTCTCATGCTTAAGAGTAAGCAATACCATTTCATAGCTTTATAGCTTCTCTATTTTTCCCACAAGAGGTCAGGGTTGTGTTATTATAATACATCCATCTCCACAGCAGTAAGTTTCAATTGTCTTATTAATTTTTTCATATTTTCACATATTTTGATCATTTAAAAGTCGTTCGGATTCACAGATCTGTCTGTACATATGTTTAATTCCTGCTAATATCTTGCTATTATTTTCTATTGTTATTATTCTATTTTCTATTGCTATTATTTGTCACATTTGTAATTCTAAAAAATACAATGTGTTAACTTTCTATTTTTTAAGTACAACTTTTGTGCAATCTTTTAATAGGATATGGCCATGCTGAGATAGAAACATGAATATATTTTATTTGCCTACCTTTTGGTGTGAACTATAACTGTACATGTAATTGAGAGGTAAAATATGGTAGATAGTATATCCATGCATTTTGATTGACTTTATTATCTAATAAGCCAAGCAAAACAGCAACCTGTTTCATAACAAACTCTTTTTATAGTAATCTTACTTAGTGTAGTATAACAAATACTGTAGTATATTTATATTCTAATTTTTAGACTATAACTAACTGTCCTATTGGGTATTCAATTCAGAAATATATATTTTTTTTCTACATAGAGAAACAGAATGACCACACTGATAATGATGACCACACTGCTATTAGTTTGGTAATGGAAAATCTGCAAGAAAACAGCCCAGTTCAGAGAGCACCAAGGACCCCTCATTTCACCCCAGGGCTACAAATATTCTTTCCTATCGGCAGAATGACAACAGGTGGTCAAAAAAGCAGTGGGAGCAGGAGTGACTTCCAATTTCCTGCCAGCTTCTCCATAAGCTTCCTTGTGGGAAACTAGCAGGGGAGCACTAGAAATCTTCCATCCTTCTTTCCCTGTTGAGGTCTTGTTATTCACAGTAGATATTGTCATGTGGAGGAATTCTAGCAGGAATTAGCCACAATTGAGCCCAAAATTTATGTTGCTAAGCAAGACATTCGTTAAGTGAGTTTTGCCCCATTTCATAATCTTTCTTGCCACAGTTGTTAAGTGAATCACTGCAGTTGTTAAATTAGTAAGATGATTGTTAAGTGAATCTGGTTTCCCCATTGGCTTTGCTTATCAGAAGGTCACAAAAGGTTATAAGCTGATTCCAGGACACTGAAATCATCATAAATACAAGTCAGTTGCCAAGCCTTTTAATTTTGATCACCTGACTATGGAGATGCTGCAATATCCATAAATGTGAAAAATGATAAGTCACTTTTTTTTAGTGTCGTTATAACTTTGAGCAGTCACTAAATGAACTGCTGTAAATTGAGGACTACTGCATATTCCGGCGTATAAGGAAACCCCGCGTATAAGACGACCCCCGTCTTCGGCACTGAGTCGCATGCCTAGAAAGTCGTCTTATACGCCAGAAACTACTGTTATTTCCGGCGTATAAGACAACTCGGCGTATAAGACAACCCCCGACTTCGGTGCCAATTTTAATGTTTGCAAAAGTCATCTTATACGCCGGAAAGTACGGTACCTGTATTCTCAAGTTGGTCTTCCTTTTCCTCCTCCATCTTTTTTTGTCTCTTCATCATGTACAGCCCTTTTATTATGTCTCTTCCTCATCTCTCCTCCTCTTTCTTGCCACATCCCAACAATATTTGGCATTATTTCTTGACCATGACATCCCTCCTCTCTTTCTGTATGGCATAATTATGCTGACATTATTTTATTTTGTTTTAATTTTTTTTAAAAAAAATATTGTACATTACCATTCTCACCTCAGAACAGTTTAGAATCCCTGCCAGCTTCTCCATTGAGTTGAAAGAAGCTGTCAGACACAGTTTAAAAATAGAATCATTTGACTTCCTGAGGGTTAGGATAGGACCAGACTATCTGATTTTCAGCAGCTGAAGGAGAGGCAACCTACACTCACTTTCAGTGTAGAAAACAGTTGAAAAATAAATCAGGATGGGCAAGAAATAAGGTACAGTGGATAATGTATTTGACTAACATCAGAGAGATCCAGTTTCTATTCCACCTGCAGCCGTAGCACTGTCAGCCCACCCTACCTCACAAGGTTGTTATGAAAAAATATAAGGGGATGTTTCTGAACCAAGATGGGGTACAGACATATGCACAATAAAAATATCTAGGACTTTCTTCATGCATCTTAAAATTGTTGCTTCTTTAAGAGTCCCACATGGGTCAATTCCTTGTTGCTGGGTAGCAGAAGGAGCGAAGGATTGTGAGAGTGACAGGGAAACTGTCACAGAACATTCAGAAAAAGCATCATGTGACTGCATCAGCAGCCCAACCATAGCAGGAGCCTGAAACAGCCACAACTTTCTCAAAATTCATTCCCGCAGGAGTCATGGATTTTGAATACATTCTGTACATTAGCTCATTTGAGGTACCTTGGTTCACAAATTGTGGCCCAGTTAATGATAATGACAAGGAAAGATTTAGTAGTATATACATTTCACCTACATCTACAAAAATGCTGAACACAGAATATTTTTATACAAAACATTTTGAATGTTCCAAATAGTATTTTTGTAGATTACTTAAAGATAACAATCCAAAAATTCTGTTTAACAGCATACAAATATCGAGATCCCTTAAAGAGCATCACATTTACTTAGATAAGTAGAGCAATGATGGCGCAGTGGTTAGAATGCAGTATTGCAAGCTAGCTCACTGCTTACTTCAGGAATTCGATCCTGACCAGCTCAAGGTTGACTCAGCCTTCTATCCTTCCAGGGTCAGTAAAATGAGGGCCCAGATTATTGGGGGCAATATGCTGACTATATAAACCACTTAGAGGCTGTAGGGCACTCAGTTAACAAGACTAAAAAGCAGTGGCCCCCAACTTTTTTGCCACTAGGGACTAGTTCCATGGAAAAAGATTTTTCCATGAACTGGAGGGGATGTGGTTTTGTGTGCTGCCTGCATCCTGCAGATAGGGCTTCATCTGTTTTGCGTCGCCTGGTTGCTGGCATGCTGCGGCCCGGTACTGGTCCATGGACCAGGGGTTGGAGACCCCTGCTGTAAAGCACGGTAAAGTGGTATATAAGTCTAAGTGCTATTGCTAAATATTTTAGGATTTTTATTATGCTTAGTTTACAATTCCCTTTATGTAGCTTATTATTGTACTATTAGCATGCAACTTTAATCTTTTTTTTCTGCACTTTTTTGCACTTGCTACTTTTATTTGTAATGCAGGAAACACCTAGCTCTATTCAAAAATACACAATATTAGAAGGGGTAGAAGAAATGAGAAGAACAATCAGCAAATGTATAATTATGAGTGATGATGGAAAACTGGGAGGACCAAGCTGAGGATAAATCATCCTGGAGAAAATCTATTTACATGGCCACCAAGCGCCAACGCAAACTTAATGGAATATAATTATCATCAATTTTAGATGTAAAACTGTAGCTTGTATTGTCAATGACCCTCATAAAGCTTATGCATTCTTCATTCCTTTATTCTTTCACCTGGACTATATTGTTTTGTCAATATATATTTATGATACTGTCAAGCATCTGCCGCAGGTAAACCTAAGTCAGACGTTCAATTTCTTCTATAAATAAAGATTTATTTATTTTGACTTAATACATAACAATAAATCATGCACAGGGAAAAAAATCAAACTGGTATCTTTGGTTCACATAAAAAATCCTATAATCTTATAATTGCATGGTGATATATTCCCAATTCTCTGGAGATCAAATATCAATATCAATGCAGGTGTAAATTTTAAGATAATTTCAGTTGCAATTAATACTTACAGACGTTTCAGTTCTGAAAGTCCATAGAAGGCTCCTGATTCAATGTTACTAATTAAGTTATTCTTCAAATCTCTGGAGATAACAGAAGAGAAAACCCAATTAATGTCTAATACATATGAAATTTTATATTCATCTAGAAGAAGGAGGGGGGAAGCTTTGAAACTTCCTCTGCATATATTAAAATCAAGGAAAAGATTCTTTTTAAAAATTGTCCTTTTCCCCTCTTACATTAGAAACCCTAATTAAAATTTTATATCTTCAATTCACCATCTTTGGAGAAAATGTACAATTAAACTAGTCAGGGAATAACCATATGAACAGTTGCATTACACTACATCAATACACTACTACAAATAATCGTCGACTTAAAATCGTTTGCTTAGTGACCATTCAAAGTTAGAACACTGAAAAAAGTGACTTACGACCATTTTTCACACTTATGACCAATGCAGCATCCCCATGCTCATGTGATTTACATTCAGATGCTTGGCAAATGACTCATATTTATGACGGTTGCGGTGTCCTGGTGTCATGTATCTGCAATTTTCTGACAAGCAAAGTCAATGGGGAAGCCAGATTCACTTAACAACTGTCTTATTAATTTAACAACTGCAGTGATTCACTTAACCAAGCTGGCAAGAAAGTTCTAAAATAGAGCAAAACTCAGTTAACAAACTCACTTAGCAACATAAACTTTGGGCTCAATTGTAGTTGTAAGTTGAGGACTACCAGTACAATCTATGTTCTAATCACCAGCACTATGTATAGATTTATGAGGAATAAGTATATACAGGCAATGTTCCCTCTAATTTCTGACATGCCAAGTAGTTTTGTGCAGCTTTTTCCAAACCAAGTATAAATTTGTACGCCACAATACCAGATACTAGTTCTTCCCTCAAATCATTTTTTATTCCATGCAGTTTTCAGAAATGATGTGCCACTTCCTTTTCCCTTAGAAATGAGAGAGAGACTGGTCCAAAAGTAGCCAGTTAATTCATTTCCAAGGCAGGACAATTTTTTAAGCTTGATTTAGAGTAGCCTGTTACTGCAAATAGGCATTGCTGCATATCTACACTGCGAAGGGGCTGAATGGGTAAGCATAGGTTGCAGATGGCTGCAGTTGGGCCAAAGCGCATGTCCCAAATCCCAACTGTGCATTGTGCAGAGGGGTGTGTTCTGTGTGCTGATTGGTTGATCTGACTTCCTGTTCTGTTCTTTGCTGTTTGAGTGCCCCCTAGCCAGAACGTTACATTTGCTGAAGTATAAATGGAACACCTATGCAACCTCCCCCAAACGACGGACACATGTTTCCTGACGTGCAGTGCCAGAGGGTCTGGTGCTGACCCTACACATGCATACCTGCTTATAGATTGTAGTGCGAACTCAATAGTCATTGATAGCTGATAATTGGAATCAATATTTGTTAATCATTTTAAATTATTTCTTTTTTAATGCTGTAGTGAAGTGTTTTTAGAGAAAAACAGGAAAGAAAAACACACAAAAGCATTTGCATAGCCCCTTCATTTTCTTTTTCCCTCATTCTTATTTCTCTGAATGGATTCTGACTTTTTTCAAATTGAATTTTTTATACAATTAACAATGACCATGGACCTTGCGAAATCCAAAACTCAGCAGATTTTTTGAAGGGAGAAATAAGGTGCCGGTATGTCTCTTTTGGCCCAATTTATAGCAGGTTGGGTGCAACTGCAAGACTGAGAATGACCTGCATGCTGTCCAGTGCAAAAGGAATCTCCCCAGAAATCCTGAGCCTTGAGTTTTATGATGCCTAAAATTATTATTTTGGAGTAATTTAGTTTTTACCAGATTTTTATCACGTGCACGGGTTTGACAAGTGGTGCACACAATTACAGGAGAAAAATCTTCAAAAATACAGAAAAGGTTTTTCAAATTTGAAATTAAAAAGAAAAACTACAAAAAGAACTAAAACTACTTCTGTGAGTGTAAATTAAACCATTCCATCCAAGAAGAATAATTAAGGCAACTCACAAGATATTACAAAGAAATGAAAGATAATGGAAAAATCTGTCTTTCATATTCAGGGATTATGAGAGGGATTTTTCTTAGATTTAAATATGTTTTTATACAACTTTCGTTGCATTGCACTCTGCAAATTTTGCTTTTCAACCTATTTCAAAAGTTACAACAAGAGCTTATCCAGTTTACAAAATAAATGTATGCTTAAACCCTATTTTCATAAGGCATCAGTATACATACAGTATGAGAACAAGAAGAAATTCTGAAATTTTTGTAAATTTTCTCTGTTACTCACTCACCAAAATAGACCTCAGATCTATTTTGGTGAGTAACAACATTTATAAAAATAAATCAGAGTGATTGGTGTTATCACTCCGGAGCAGTCTTTCTCAACCTTGACAACTTTAATATTGTAGATGTCTTATAAAAGTCATCTTAAGTTCACACATTACACAGGTTGGGAGAAATTGCCTTAAAGGCCCCTCTAACTATAATTACTGTCATTTAAAGACCCCCATCCTGCACTATTTTGAGAAAAGAATCATGAAAATATAGTGGAAGGCCCCAAAATGGATATTATAACTCAAAATCAAAAGAAACCTCCAAGCATAAATGAAGCCACTGTTCAACAAAAGATTTCCTACCTTTGTACTAAATGGAATCAAAATCAATGTTCAATTTCTTATACTTCACGATTTGAAGGCTGAAGTAAATGTTTATGGAGCCAGTGATGTGAAGTATAGTACCGTATTTTCCGGCGTATAAGGTGACTGGGCATATAAGATGACCCCCAACTTTTGAGAAGATTTTCATGGTTTAGAAAGTCATCTTTTATGCCGGAAAATATGGTAGCAATGCTCACTGGAGATGCTTACTCTTCCTTGCTCAAAAATATTGGGAGGGAGGGAAGGGGAAGGAAGGAAGGAAGATTGAAGGGGAAAGGAAGGAGATGGAGAAGGAAGGAAGATTGAAGGAGAAAGGAAGGAAGGAAGGAAGGAAGGAAGGAAGGAAGGAAGGAAGGAAGGAAGGAAGGAAGGAAGGAAGGAAGGAAGGAGAGAGAGATTGAAGGGGAAGGGATGGAGAAGGAAGGAAGGAAGGAAGGAAGGAAGGAAGGAAGGAAGGAAGGAAGGAAGGAAGGAAGAAAGATTGAAGGGGAAAGGAAGGAGATGGAGAAGGAAGGAAGACTGAAGGGGAAAGGAAGGAAGGAGAGAGAGAGAGATTGAAGGGGAAGGGATGGAGATGGAGATGGAAGGAAGGAAGATTGAAGGGAAAAGGAAGGAGATTGAAGGGGAAAGGAAGGAAGGAAGGAAGGAAGGAAGGAAGGAAGGAAGGAAGGAAGGAAGGAAGGAAAGAAGGAAGGAAGGAAGGAAGGAGAGAGAGATTGAAGGGGGGAGACGCTGCCAAGGACGCACAAGCAGCTCTGTACAATTGCCCAGGGAGGGGGGGAGACTCTGGCGGAGAGCTTGGTGGAGAGCCAAGCAGCGGCACATCCGGGGCCTCAGAAGCTGCGTGGAGGATCTGCGCGCTTCGGAGCCACCGGCCGCCCTCTCACACCCACCAAGGGATGGAGATGGAGAAGGAAGGGGATTGAAGGGGAGAGGTGCTGCCAAGGATGCACAAGCAGCTCCGCACAATTGCCCCAGGGGGGAGGCTCTGGCGGAGAGCCTGGTGGAGAGCCAAGTGGCGGCACATCCGGGGCCTCGGACACGCCTCGGAGCCGCTGGCCGCCCTCTCACACCCGTGAAGGGATGGAGAAGGAGATAGAAGGAAGGAAGGAAGGAAGATTGAAGGGGAAAGGAAGGAGATGGACAAGGAAGGAGATTGAAGGGGAAAGGAAGGAAGGAAGGAAGGAAGGAAGGAAGGAAGGAAGGAAGGAAGGAAGGAAGGAAGGAAGGAAGGAAGGAAGGAAGGAAGGAGAGAGAGAAAGATTGAAGGGGGAGGCGCTGCCAAGGACGCAAAAGCAGTTCCGCACAATTGCCCAGGGAGGGGGGGAGGCGGCGGCATATCTGGGGCCTTGGAAGCTGTGCGGAGGATCCGCGCGCCTCGGAACCGCCGGCTGCACTCTCGCACCCGCCAACCTGGAGCCCCCCATCCTCATCCCGGCACCTCTTGCCCTCTCCCAGCTGCCCCCCGGGACCTGCCCACCCCTCCAGCCTCCTGAGCACCATCGCAACGGTGGGATCGCGGGAGCCCCTTTCCACACCGCGCAGCCCATGGCACGCAAGAGGGGCACGGCCGGAGTGCCAGCTCCTGCTTGGAAGGCACCGCTTCTCCCCTCCTGGCCCGGCCGGCTGGCCTCCGACGCACATGTGGATATTTTACAGCATATAAGACGACTGGGCGTATAAGATGACCCCCAACTTTTGAGAAGATTTTCATGGTTTAGAAAGTCATCTTATACGCCAGAAAATACGGTAGTTCAGATGTTATGTTGAGACTGGCTGACACATAACTGGGTGATCCTAATCTGTCACCCTCTCTCTCTGCTAGTTTACCTCACTGGGCTGCTATAGGAAAAATCAGGGGAGGCTCCCACAAATAGCACCTGGACTTTCCAGAAAATAAATATGTTGCCATTATTATGTGACAACTTATGCTTAAAAGGGACGGAAAAATAATGGACAATATTAGTTATATTATTATTACTATTTACAAATTAATTTTGATGATGATGTTATCTGTTCAGTCAAATCTGACTTTTGGTGATTCAATGGGCCAGGTCTCTCCACATCTTCCAATCTTGTACTATTCTTCAGGTTTTTCTATGCTCTGTCTTGTGTCAGCTTTAATAGTGTCCAGTCACCATGTTTTCTAATCATTGGTTTCCTTTTATTGCAAACACTTCCAAACATAATTGTTTTCTCCAGTGAATTCTCTCACATGACATGGCCAAAGTAAGTGAGAGTATTTTTTTATTTTGCCAGAGTACTTGCTTATTAGTCACTTTTGCTGTCCAAGGAATATGCAGGAGCCTTCTTCAGCACCACAGCTCAAACGAGTTGATTTTCTTCCTGTCTTTTTTAATGTCCAATTTTTACAGCCACAGGTAACTATGGGAAACACAATAGAGCAAACTA